ATTGGTGCGGTGGCTCAGCTCTTGGGGCCGCTCAGCTCGATGATGCTGCGAACCAGCGGCCCCCTCGGGGCTGGGCCTGAAGTCCGCTCGGCCTCCTGCGAGGCCATGATCTTCATGGGGAGCTCGTACAAGGTTCATGCCTGCCGTCGAGCGCGTGTCCACCGCCCACTCGAACTGGCCCGCGCGCTGGACCCCCTCTTTCGGCTTCTGCAAGCGCACGCGAAAGACCCGCACAAGCAAACCCAGCGTCTTCAACGGCATTCCCTAGATGTCGCGGGGCGCCTTCATGACGCGCGCGCGCAGCTCCTTCTCCTCGCCCCTGTCCTCCGTGAGCGCCACCGCCGCCGCCATGGGCGTCATGAAGATGTGCAGGTGCGGGCGGCCTCTGCCCTTCCAGTCCTGCCCCTCGCCCTTGGCCTGCGCCGCTTTCATCTCCTTGTTGTTGGCGTTGTACTCCTTGCCCGCGCGCGCCGCCGCCTCCACGAGCTCGTTGTCCGCCAGCAGCGCCGCGCGCTCGTAGACGGTCGCCTTGGGCCCCTCGAGGTCGCGATCCATCGCGACGATCAGCCGACCCATGGCGTTCGCGAGCTTGGAGGTGTTGCCTCTGGAGCCCTTGCCATCGCCTGCGGTCTTCTTGCCGCCCGTGTCCTTGTCCGCGTCCTCTGCCGCGCCTTCGCCCTCCTCCGCGCGGCGCTTCTTGCGGCCCTTGAACCGCGCAGGTAGGGGTAGTTCCTCGTTGCCCTGGGCGGGTGGCATCCGTACTCTGCCGCTCTGCTGCCCGCGTAGATATGGATACGGTCAAGTGGTGCTGAACCAGATGGCTACAGAGACTGTCCAGATCGCCCCGTTCCGAATCACACAATCGGCAAGCGAAGGGGGCAGGTTGACGCACTGGAAGAAGCGTGCGGCCCCCACCGCCAGCTCATACTCCCTTAATCATCGCTGTCTGTAAGTGACGGCCTGCGACGGCCTGCGCACCAACGATCGCGGCACACGGCCCTGCAACATACACAAACGCTCGTAGGGGTAAGAACAGCCGCAAAATTCTGTTGGTGATGCGCAAACCGGAGGTGATTCAGCAACTGTTTGCAAGTGTGGAACCTGCTCGGGCATCCGACAATGCGACAGGCAAACTGAGGGCCATCGAGAGAGTCGGGGGGGGGGGGGGGGGGGGGGGGGAGATGGCCGATATACAAGCCGACCGCTGACGTCAGGGCCCCCCCAAACAGGGGGGCGGAGGAACCGCGACAGAGAGCTCCCTGGGCCGCAACTGCGTCATATCGATCATGCGGAACTCCTCACTCCGATCGCTGCTCGCAAGGATCCGCAGGTCCCTCGCAACATCCTCCACGCATTGCTCATCGAGAATACGGGCTGCCAGCTCTAGGTCCTCAACGACTTGTCGCGCCCACGGCGAAGCATGCTGAGTCAAGGCGCCCCCAAAGCACGGCGGACAACCAGAGTCAATCTCGAGAGCCCCAAAGAGCACCGCCAAGACCCGAGAGCCCCCCACAGGGTCGGCGGATCAACTTTGGTACAGACGCAGCCTGCGCACGCGCAGTTCTACTCGCGAGCCTGCAAGTTCCCAGACATCTAAGACCTGCTTATTACTCATGCACCTTACGCGGTCCCCCTCCCAGTCCGTAGCCGCCCCCTGCATTGCAACGCGCGCAACTCCTGCTAGACAGGCATCCGACACTTAATAATCCCGAGGACAAATGGACAGACTCTAGAGCTGGAAGAAGAACGTTATGCACCAGTCCTTGTAGAAGCGAGCGTTTGTGCCGTCGAACAATGGGAAGAGACCAGACCCCCCCCCCCCCCCCAGAGAGTAGAACGCCTTGCGGGCCGCGGCACACCTCCTAGTGACCTCTAAATGGGCGCTACCCTTCAAAGCCACATGCGGGCCAAGGTATCGAGCGTCTTCTTCGGGCACTCCGTGAAGACCAACACGCCGAGGACCCCTCAAAAGGCCACGAGAGCACGGCGCCCCCGTCCCCGAGAAATAGAACAATAACTCTTTTTTTTCGCAAGGTTCTGAACCAAACCGAAATTGGAGAGGCAACGGTTGAGCAGCTGGTCGACCCCCGAAAGCTTTTCAATGGAATCGACAAAGGTCATGCCCTCTTCAGCGATCACAAACTTGTTCAGACAACTGCGTACTTTAACATGGACAAATCCGTCACGAGGTCCCCCCAACGTCCCTTCAAGGCCCCCGCCGTGGGGTCAACGTCCAACAAGCCCCTACTCCATCGCAAAACAGGTCGTGAAAATGTGTGCAGAAAGGTACTAACAACAAAAGGATCACCCATGACTCCGCCCTCTTGCGTCTTAACTATGATCGAGCCGTCGCTGCCTGTAAATTTTACGGCGGACAACCTGTAACGCTGCTTGCATAACTCCGTGTCCTCGGGCCGCACGTGCAACTCCGTGCTAACGTCCATGGAGTCTCACGAAGTGCTGGCGAAGGCATGTGTCATGTCCTTCAAGGTCATGCAGTGGGTCCTGCGGATCTGGCGCAACCTGTGGCTCACTACCTGGGCAATCAAGATCGGATGGATTCTCACGACGTCGGCCTTTCACGAAGCCATGGTCGTGCAGGGTGGCCTGGCCGCGGACCCGAGAGGCGAAGAACGCTTTACCTGCGACAGGTACACACGTGGACCACCCTTCTCCCCTTCGGGCCGTGCAGCATGTTTTTGTGTAGGGCGGCTCCCTGGGACAGATGCCAATATAATGGCGAGGCACAATATGCCCGGACCTTTTCCAACCCGATCCGTAAAACGTCCCAGACAATATTCACCGATAGACTTTTCTTTTCCGTCCCAAGACCCGCTCGGCTTCGAATGCGCCAATTGGGGTAGAACATCATGTGCCACAATGTCAAGGGCATAGTACTATTTGGCACGGCGCGCCTTTGGGGGGCCCCTCTAACGTAGCGTCGCATAGCCTGAATGTCTAGATCGGCCAACTCGGCAATCGCTGGATCCCTTATCTCCTCGTACGTTTCCTCCTCCCGCGTGCCCCTCCACTGCTCCCAATCCAATAATACCGCTGACATATATCCTTCCTTACCAGGCCCCTCCCACACCTCCTTCCACTCGTCGCAAGCAGGAAGAACCGAGAGGACCAGTCGGCCATCTCTCTGCTTAGGACCATATCGGCACCTCGCCGCTGCCCGAAGAGCTCGCATACACTCAGCCTCCCGACCGCTGCGAATGGCGTCTTTCGCCTCCTGCACGAGTCGGGCGCGCCGTATCCGAGTCTGAGATCGACGGGCTCGTGTGAGCTCCTTTGTCAGGTCCTTGAGTTCCTGGTCGACCGCCCTGGCGTACCCTGGAGTATTGCCTAGCTTACTGTGACGAAGGTGCGCGCGCTGTCTAAGGAGTTCTCGACGACGACGACGACGACAGTCCAATGAATACGTCGAAGTTGGGGCTGTTGTTTTTGAGAAATGCTGTTGCCCAGCCGTGACGATCGCCTGCTCAAGCCCCTCGAAGATCGCATCTGGCGAGGAGTAGTGCAGGTAGGACCACACAGGCAACCTCTGCAACTCACGTTTGACCGTCTCCAGAAATTCGGCTTCACCCGTCCCCCATCGAACGGTACCCATCATAGCGTTTTATCCCAAGCCAACGGCGGAGCGGCCGCAGGGCCCTCGTCTCCACCTTTCCAACACGGCAGTTCGAAATACAACGGCAAATGGTCTTTAGGCGGGGGGCCCGTGTAGGCCGTGTAGGCCCGTGGAGGAGCAGGAGGAGGAGGAGGAGGAGGAGGAGGAGGAGGAGGAGGAGGAGCAGCAGGAGGAGAAGGAGGAGGAGGAGGGAGGAGGAGGAGGAGGAGGAGGAGGAGGAGGAGGAGGAGGACAGGTCGCCTAAGCCCTTCGGAGACACCCTCCAGGCAGCTGCGGGGACACCAACAAAAAAAAGAGCGGCGGCCTCTCGCCTCCCCCCGACGGGCCGCGAGGGAGCGGCGAGCGGCGGGCGTCTTCCCCGCCCCTGCTGGCGATCGGCCGGCGCGCACGGCTCGGGGGACGGCCGACCCCCCGCTGCGCGCGGGCCGGCAGCTGTCGAGCCTTCGGCGGCTGCTGGCCTCCCTGAACTTGGCCGCGAGGCGGGGATTCATCCATGTGCACCGCCTGGGAACCGACGTCCTGGTGCCCCAGCGGGCGGCGGATATGGATACAGTTTGGCCCCCAGGGGCCCGAATACATCCATGTCCACCGCCTGCCGAGGTCTCCGAAAATTGATGCTCCAGGCGGTGGTCATGTATAAATTCCCGCCTCGGGTTGGCGGCACGCACAAGGGGGTAGGGAGAGGGGGGGGAGTTTCTGAGAAGGAGGCCGCTTCTCACAAGGCGGTGGCCCTACATCTACAGAGAAGGCCCGCGCCTTCTAAGAGGCAGGGGTGCTTCTAAGAAGCCTTCCCCCTCCCCCTACCCCCCTCCTGCGAGTGACTGATGAACACCTTCGCTGTCGGCAACCGTCGGCCCCGATCTGGCTGGCTGGTCGCCCGCGGGCGTGGCGCCAAAGCACACGCCACCGACAGCGGCCCTGGGGTAGATGCAGAGGAGCAGAAAGCTGCATAAACATAATTTCTGGAGGTCCGCGCAGATTTCTTGGATAGGCGCTGGACCCCCCTGGCGCGCGCCAGGGGCCCTGCGGCCAGGGGGTCCAGCGCCAATTCAGAAATCCGCGAAGTTTCGAATGCGCATGCTTCCGCGGTTATTTGTTCTTCGATCGACTACATGCGAAAAGCGACCTTTGGTGCGCGGCCTTTCAGGGGCGCGAGGGGGCCAAACCCAAGCGCGCAGGCCGCTGCTATCGCGTCGCGCTCAGCGATCGGGGGGACCCGCGTGAGCCCGCACCAGAGGTCACTCCAGCGAAGGGCCCCTCTTGCGCGCAGTCTACTCGAGCCAGAGCACACGCCCCGACACTGGGCCCTTGGGGCCTGCGGCACAACACACAAACACACACACACCACTTCGAAGCACGGCCCCCCCCCACTGTTCGGCACCGGAAGGCGTGCGATCGCGTGCGGCTCGCCACCCAGCACCCGCGGCACCTGCCCGAGACCGCCGATCGCCGAGGCGGCCTGCCGCAAGGGTGGCCAAGTCGACGCGTCACCGTCGGCTGGCCCCGCCTGGCATGGCCAGTGGCTCTGTGGCAACTCGCAGGAGCCTCTCATGTCATCTTGCTGGCTGTTGCGGATCGACGCGAACCGACGCTACTGGACGCCAAGTCAATGTGGGTCGACGCTGAGTGGGTGCTGTCTCACTGAACACCAGACGCTGGCGCACGCGAGTGCGCCCTGAAGACGGAATTCCAAGGACATGCAAGGCTCACGTGATTTGCCACCGAACAACGCGGGGCGCTCTGTTCTCCGGCAGCGGCGCTTAAGGAGATCCATGACCACTGCGCCCGCCCGAACGCCAGGCGCTGACAGGGCACCAACGGCCGAGAACTCCGCGATGTCGAGGCTGGGCGTCCGACGTCGGCCGCCCGAAAGCGACAGCTTGAACGCCGCGTGCTCCTGGAAGACGACTGGCCCGAGGCTCCACACACATGACATCGCGATGGGATAACCAAGACGGCTGGTTTCGCATGCGTCCTCCACAGCTCAAGAGGGGTAACTGAAACGACTGCCGTTGCCCGTGAACTCGCACGCGCTGGATACTGGCACCGTCTCAAAATGGCACGAGCTAGCTTAGCCGACTAGAACTCGCCGACAGACGCCAGCATGTCCTGCCACTCTCTGCTAGCCTGGCACACGCTGACTCCAGCGTTGTAGCTGCTGGCGCTTGGCTTCAACGCCAACTCCCTCAGTTGGCACAGCAGCGACCATGCCAACTGCCACTGCCCACCCTTCGCACATGCGCTTAGGCCAGCGTTGTAACAATCGACATTCAATTCTAAATTGGCTCCCCTCAGCTCCCACAGCAGCGACAGCGCCTGCTGCCAGAGACCAGCTACCTCGAACGAGCGAACCCCGCTGCTGTAGCTGCTGACTGTTGGCACGAGCTGTGCATCCCATGACGCCCGTAGCAACGACAACGCCAGAGGCCATTGACCGCCTTTCTCGCACGCGCTCAGTCCAACATTGTAGGTGATCGCGTCCGGCTCCAGCCTTACATCCCGCATTTCGCAGAGCAGCGACAGTGCGCGCTGCCACTGCCCGCACTTCTCAGACGCACTGATTCCAGCGTTGTAGCTGATCAAGTCCAATTCCACCTTTGTTTCACGCATCCCCTGCAGCAGCGACATCGCTAGCTGCCATTGCCCGCTCTTCGCACATGCGCTGATTCCTGCGTTGTACGTGATGACATCTGGATGAACTCTCGCTAGCCACACCTCACAAAGCAACGACAATGCCTGCTGCCACTGCCCACCTTTCTCGCACGCGCTGATCCCAGCGTTGTAGCTGATGGATAGGGCTACGCTCCAAACTTTTGCTATGCAATCTTCCAGAAATAAATTGAGATCCTGCTTCGCTGAATTTCTTAGCCCTCTTGCGAGAGCCAGCTTTGAAGCGTGCAATTTCTCAGCGCAGCGCGGCGCCAGTGTTGGTGGTTGTGCTAAAGATTGTGCCGGTGATGATGCCGATTGTGGGGCCGCGGGTTCTGCAGCAATGTATGAAACACAACATGCAAGAACATGTGGAGAAAGATGTGGCGGAGGATCTGGACGAAGACTTGCGGGAAATCTGAAGGAAGATTTGGAGAAAGATCTAGGGAATATGTACAGTAGAGGAGAGATCTCGAGCAAGACCACGGTGAAGGTCTGGGTGAAGATCTGGACGAAGAGTTGGAGAGGATCTGGGGGAACATGTGGAGAAAGATCTGGAGAAACATACAGTGGACGATATGGGGGATATCTGGAGGAGAGATCTCGAGGAAGACCTGGGTGAAGATCTTGGTGCAGACATGCGTGAAGATCAAGGGGAAGATCTGGGTGAAGACCTGGGGTAATATCTGGCGGAAGATCTGGATAACTATTTGGAGGAAGATCTAAGAGGAGAGATCTCGGGGAAGATCTGGGTGGATATCTGGGGGGAGATCTGGAGAAGATCTGGGGAGAATTCAGGTGAAAGATTTGGAGACAAATCTGAGGTAAGATCTGGAGGAGAGATCTCGGGGAAAATCCGGCTGAAGGTCTGGGGGGAAATCTGGGAAAGATCTGGAAGATCTGGAGGGATATCTGGAGACACATCCAGAGGAGAGATCTCGGGGAAGATCTGGGTGAAAATCTGGGTGAAGATCTGGAGGAAGACCTTGAGAAGATGTGGGGGGGAAGATCTGGGGGACGATCTGGAGGAGAGATCTTGGAAAAAATCTGGGCGAAGATCTGGGTGAAGATGTGGCGGGGGATCTGGACGAAGATCTGGGGGCAGATCTGGAGGAAGACCTGGAGGAGACATCTGGGGGTGGATCTGGAGGAGAGATCTCGGGGACAGTCTGGGTGAAGATCTGGGGGAAGATCTGGGGGAAGATCTGGAGGAGAGATCTCGGTGAAGATCTAGGTGAAGATCTAGGTGAAGATCTGGGGTAATGTCTGAAAGATTATATGAGGAAAGAGCCGTGGGAAATCTGGAGGATGATCTAGGGAAATATCGTGAGGGAGCATCTGGGGCAGGTTTGGGCGCAACATCTGGAGGCAGCTCTGAGGCCCGGAGGAGAGGTGTGGACGATGATCTGGAAGAAGATCTGGAAACCCAGAGAGAGATCTGGGGGGCGAAATGCAAACAGAAGTGGTAGCAATCCGAAAAGAGCGTCAGCAGGAACAAATGACGGAAGATCAGGGGGCAGATCTAGGGGAAGATCTTGGGAAAGATCTGGAGGATAGTCCGGGAAGAAATCTAGGACAACGTATCGGGGAAGATCTGGAGGAAGATCTTGTAAACAACTGGAATATCTGGAACAATCGGAAGATCCGCGTTTCGCCCCCAGGCAAGAGGACGGAGGAACGGGAGGGGAAAAAGAGGAGGATGAGGAGGAATAGGAAGGGAGACAGGAGGAGGAGGGAGAGGATCCGCGGGAAGCTCTGGGGGGGGGGAGATCTGGTGGAAGATCTGAGCGTAGATCTGGAGTAAGATCTGGAGGAAAATCAGGGAGAAAATCTGAGGAAGATCTAGTCAAATGAACTAGGAAGATAATAAGACGATCTGGAGGAGAGATCTTGGGACAAATCTGGGCGAAGATCTGGGGAAGATCTGGGAGAAGATCTGGTGGAGAGATCTGGGGAATATCATGGAAGATCCAGGGAAAATCTGGAGGAAGATCTGGGGAAGATCTGGAGGAAGATCTGGAGAAACATCCCGGGAAGATCTGGAGGAAGATCGGGGGAAGATCTGGAGGAAGATCGGGGGAGGATCTGGAGGAAGATCTGGAGGAAGACCTGGGGAAGATCTAGGAAGATCTGGGGAAGATCTAGAGGAAGATCGGGGGGAGAGCAAGGGGGAGATCAAGAGGAAGCTCCCGGGGAAGATCTGGGAGAATATCTAGAAGATCTGGAGGAAGATCAGTAAGAAGATGCCAACGTTAAGAAACTGGGCCAGCTTCTGGGAATTCGTTAACGAAAATTAAGAAAAGTTGAGACCCAGCATGGCGGGAGGGACTTTCTTAACAGAAGATATCAATGTAATCCGTGGACTAATAACATCAATCAAAGCTGACTCACAGATCAATGCCACATGCACATGCGAGCACTGTTCACATGCTGGGCTGGCATCTTGCCTGCTGTCCTGCCTGCGTGGTTGCAGGCCTGGTGGTCTGACGACTTCTGAACTAATCGCCTGTCTTCTTCCGGAATTGGATTCTTTGATTGCTTGCCCGTTAACTCGCTGCCGCTTGCTGATGCTTGGTGCTCATTGCTGGCACTTGCTGCTGCGTGCTGCTTCGCGCTGCTGGAAACGAGTGTCCGCTGGTGCGTAATGCTTCGTACCATGGCTTGGCGCTGCTGCAAACTGATGTTTGGTGCTGGTTGTTGCCGCGTGCCTGCTGCTGTATGCTTCCGCTTGCTCTTGCTGCTCGCTGCGGCGACTGGTTGCTGCTGTCAGTAATTGGCGCTGCATGCAGGCGTAGGCTGATGCTGCCTTCTGCGCGCGCTGCTGCATGCTGCTTACTGCTTGCTGCGTGCCGCTGCAACTTGTTCCTGTTGCAGGGTGTCACTGCGTGCTTCATCTGCTTGGTATGCAACCTAGTGCGGGTGATTGTTGCTGCTGACCGCTGCACGCTGCAAGATGCTGCTGCTGTTCGTTGCTGCGGATGCGTGCTGCTGCTGTGCCGCCACCGCTTGCTGATGCTGCCTGTTGCTGCAGCGTGCTGCTGCTAGCTGGTTCTGCTTTCTGTTGCTACCTGCTGCGCAGTGACGCTGGTCCAGGGTCGCACTGGGATTCTCTAGCAACTGTTGCATATCCTGCGATGTCACTGGGGCCCCACGAGGGCCCGGTCAGGCCGTTCGGGGGGCCACCTTGGTGATATGGAGCCGTCCTGGCAGTCTCGGAAGTTGATTTTTCATACCTTGGGGCCCCCTCTAGGTCATCCTGAGCCATGTAAGATGCGTCTTGAGCACTCTGGAGAATCCTCGCTGTCTTGGGGAACACTCAGAGAATATGGCGTCCTCCCTCTGCAGACTTTGGCCGAGAGGGCTGGAGAGCTAGACCTGGAACACAGCAGCGCGCTTTGGGCTGGTGTTTGCTGCCTGTTGCGCAGGCCTGAGAGGTTGACACCAACACCAAGATCGGCGGTGTGCCTCCACCGAGGGACGAAGATCCCGATTTCGGTGATGGTGGTAATATTATGGCTTCCAAGGCGACCGAAACATTACCACCAACGCCGAGATCTAGGATCACCTTCACCCTGTGGAGGCGACCCCCTGTGTTGGTGTTGGTGCCCACGTCCAGGCCTCCAACTGTTGCCTGCCCTGGTGCCCGCTCGGGCCTTTCGTGAGCCTCACAAGGCCCCTTGGGCCTCTCTCGGGGGCCTCTGTGGGTTTCCTGGGGCAGTCTTGAGGAGCTCGGGCGGCGTACTGTGAATCTGCACGGGTGGTCAGGCCAGAACGTCCCGCTGCAGCAGCGCCCCCGCGATCTGCCCACTGTCCGACGCAGTGCGCAAGAGACTAACTAGAGCACAGGTGCCCGCGGACGAAAGCTCCACGCGTAACTTGCCCGACTAGCGCGGCTCAGGCAAGGCATGCCACATCGATCTCGGTCAATGAATACGGCGCATCGGCTGGTTCTTGGAATTAATGAACACATGTCTACCAGGGCGGTTGGGTGATGATGCGTTACCCTGGGAGGGCCCCCAGAAGGATTGCAGATGAATCATATTTGCATCCCCCCTCTAAGTCCTCCTCCTACTGCTGCTGCTTGTTGCTAATTAGTTGTTGCTGCTCGCTGCAGCTTGCTTCGACTGGCTGCGACTGCCCGCTGTTCGCTGCGGCTTGCTGCTGGCGCGTGAAGCTGCGTGCTGGTGCTGGTGCTGCTGAACAATGCTGCTGCATGCTGACGACGATGATGCGGTTTTCCGATGTTTGTGTATCCTGCTGCACGCCGGCGCGGCTGGCTACCACGGCAGAGTCTGCAGGCTAGTGCCTGCTGCCTACCGCCTATGCTGACGCCTTGCCTCTGATGATTGCTGCCCTGTTGCTCCTGGTGGGCGTTGCTGCTGGCTCCCCTGCTACCGGCTATGCTTGTGCTGGCGCAGTTGCTTGCGGTTGCTTGCCGATGCGATGTGCTCCTGTTGCCGCTCGTTGGTGTTTCTGCTGTTTGCTGCGGCTACGTATGCGAGTGCTACTGCTGCTTGCCGCTGCTACTGCTGCTTGCTGCGATGACTGCTGGTTGATACTGTTGCTTGCCACCGTGAATTGCTGCCGCTGCTTACTGCTGCGGTGGCCCTCGGCAGCACTCCAGAAGCCGCCTTGCGCCGACAGGCGTGGATATGCCAGCCCAAAACAGAAACCCTTGTGGCTCCCTCCCAGGGCCCAATTCACCGGGGGCGTCCAAGAGGGGGGCGTCCAATAGGGGGGCTCGCAAATCATGGCCCGAGGGACGTGCGCGGCCCAGGGAAGGCCACTGACCGCGAAATAAAAAGACAGGGCCGGAGCTACCATAGCACCTGCCATAACAGATCTCCCCTAATCATCACCCCTCTTTCCGGGGCGACGACGGGACGGTGGGGGCGAAGACCCCAGGGGGGAGAGCAAGACACGTGTCCAGGAGCGCCGACGGTTCTCGGCGAGGCTCCCTGGTGAACATGTGGCATGCGCGCCACTGGGCTATTCGCCCCTGTCGCCGCCTCCGACTGTCGGGGTCGGCCAAAAGGGGGGCGTCCAGCGGGGGGGGGGGCTGTAAACCATGGCCGGCAGCGTGTGCGCGGCCCAGGTGGGGGCCGGGGACGTGATGAAGTAAGAAGGGGCGCTGCGAAACCTGGGGAGGTAGTTATCGTGGCCCCCGCTATGAGATCCCCCCACCCCTAGTCGTCGCCCCCGAGGCTGATCGTCGCCCCCGCGCGCCTGGTGGGGCAGCTCGAGGCCTCTCGGGCTGCCTCGGGGCCGCCTCGAAGAAGCCCGCTCGAGCGGCCTGCTGCTCGGGCCTGCGACGCCCCGCCCCGGAGGGGGCCGCAGGCCTGCAGGCTGGACTGGCTTTCGGGGGGCCGCTTTCGGGGCGCCCCGTGGCGGGAGCCGGCCCCCGACGCAAGGGAGGCAGGAGGAGGAGGCAGGAGGAGGAGGAGGAGGAGGAGGAGGAGGAGGAGGAGGAGGAGGAGGAGGAGGAGGATTGGTTGTCTTTGAGCCGCACGCTCCACAGCTGGTGGGTTTGATCATTGGTTTGTTGAACAGCACGGGCACCGATGCTGCACCCTCGCGCCCAGGGAGAGGAGGCCTTGGGCGCAAGCTGAAGATCAGAGGCAAGGACGCCTGCAGGCCGCACAGGGGAGGGGAGACGGACGAGGCCGGGGCTGCGGAGGGCGGTGGTGTCGGAGGGCTTGAGGGAGGGAGGGCAGCGGGAAGAAGAGGCGTGACGAGAGCTCCTCCTCTTCCTCCTCGACCAAAGGGGGTCGTCCCCCGACTGGGCCCAGGTTTGGGCCGGTCCCGCGCGCGCTGCCGCGAGAGCACTGTGCGGCAAGCTCGCGTCGTGGCGGCCCCCCTGCGCGTCGGTCCCTCTCTCTCTATTCGGTGGTTCAGAGATATGGTCCTGAGAGGGGTCCTGAGGATAGGAAGGGGTCCAAGGGGGGATTTGCGTTGTTCGAGGAACCTCTCTCTTAGGAGCACATCCCTCAGGACCCCATCTTCGAACCACCGACCAGGGGGGCCGTCCCCCGACTTGGCCCAGGTTTGGGCCGGTCCCCCGCGCGCTGCCGCGAGCACTCGCTGCGGCAGGCTCCTGTCGTTGCGGCCCCTGCGCGTCGGTCCATCTCTTGAGCAGGGACCGACCGTCCCGGCATTCCTATAAGCCTACCACAACATGTTCTTAGGACCCAGACATGTTCCAATAACAAAACAAGGTTCTTAGAACATGAACCCGATGTGTTAAAGCAAGACAGTGCCAGCCAGAAATGTTCTAAGAACATTTCGCGGAAACCACAGAAGGTTCTTCTAACATTCTCTGGTGGGCCTACAGGCACGCCAAAGACGCCTCGCCACTGCTCGATTCCCCCCCTTCCGCTCCACCCTCCTCCGCCGCCAGCTGGGGCCGGCCAGACCCTGGAGTCCTGGCTGCCTCGCTTGGCGGATCGGGGCCAATCTGCTTGCCGCCTCCCGCCGTGCAGGCGCCGGGGGCGCGCAAGGGCATGGCTCGGCGATCCATGGCTCTTGGCGCGCGGTCACCGAATCCAGGGATCGGGGGAGGTACCCTCCCCAAAATGCGGCCGGCGCCGCCTCGCTCGGCAGCGGAGATCCGCGATTCCCCAGGGAAGCGGGGCCCGTCGCTGATCCACACCCCCTCGATCCATGTTTGCGATCGCCTGAGGGTCGGGACGCTCAGAAGAAACATCGTGCCGAAGCGGCCCCGCGTCGGCCTCTCTGGCACCGCGCGGATGGTTCGGCACTGAACGATCGGCGGCTGCACGATCGCCAGGTCGCTCCATCTTGCCGCGGCGCGCCGCGGGGGGGAAGTGAGAGGAGGGCAGGTCTCAGAACAAGGGCTCCCCACTTCGCGCTTCGCGCTGCGCGAAGCGCGAAAAACTTCGCGCTCTCGCGCCGCCTCCCAGGGGAGAAGAGGAGGAAGAGGAGGAACCGGAGCCGAACCGCGAAGCGCGAAGAGCTTCGCGCCCTCGAGGGCGCCCCTGCAGGGGACCTCTGGCCTCCGGGGGAGGCTCCGAAAGATTCTCGGAGAGACGGAGGCCTCGCGAGCCTGCTGGGCAGGCCGGCCCCCGCCCCTCGGCTTCGCCCCACGTGCGCGCCACCGGCCGGCGGCTTTTCTCAACCTCGGGCGTGCGCGGCGGGGTTGCCCCCGACGAAGGTTGCGACGACGAAGATCTGCTGTGCAGTGCACGTCGGTCGGAAGAAGTAGGTAAAAACATGAAGCAGGAATCGGATAAAGTAGATTGGACCGATTCTTGAAGTAGGAAGGCGCTTGAAGTAGATTGGGTTCTGGGAATCCAAAAATACTTACTTTCAACGACCGGCGTGTAGGGGTGACGCTTGGCTCAACTCTTGCTGCCCTCAGCTCCCTCAACAGCGACAGTGCGCGCTGCCACTGCCAGGATTTCTCGCACGCGCTGATTCCAGCGTTGTAGCTCATGGCGGTTGGTTCGAAACTCACCTCCAACATCTGTCTCAGTAATGACAGTGCCTGCTGCCACTGCCTACCCTTCTCGCACGCGCTGATTACAGCGCTGTAGCTGGCTGCATCCGCCTCCAGATTCCTTTCGCACAGCTCGCTGAGCAGCGACAGCGCCCGCTTCCACTGCCCGCTTTTCCCGCACGAGCTGATGCCAGCACTATAGCTCACCACATCCGCCTGCAGGTTTACTTCCAACAGCTGTCTGAGCAATGACAACGCCTGCTGCCACTGGCCACCTTTCTCACACGCGCTGATGCCAGCACTGTAGCCAGCAGTGTTCATCGGCAACCTCGATCGCAATAACTCGTCGAACACGTTCAATGCATGTTGCCACTGCCCACACCAATTACACGCACTTACTCCCGCAACATAGCTGATTAGGTCAGCCTCGAGGTTCGCATTGCACAACCCCCTGAGAAACAACAATGCTTGCTGCCATTGTCCACCGCTCTCGCACGCGCTAATTCCGACACTGTAGCTGATAACTGTCGGCTCCAACGTTGACTCCAGCAAACGCTTCGACAACGCTATGGCATGTTGCCACTGCCCGCTACTGTCGCACGCGCTGATGCAAGCACTGCAGCTGATCGTGTCGGCTTCCAACCTCGCATTCCACAACTCGTTCAGTAAAGACAACGCGTGTTGCCACTGGGCGCCTTTTTCGCACGCGCTGATTGCGGCACTGTAGCTGATAACATTCGGTTTCAGTCTCGCTTCCAACGACTCGCTAAACAAGAACAATGCATGCTGCCACTGTCCGCCTCTCTCGCACGCGCTGATTCCTGCAGCGAAACTAATCAAGTCGGCATCTAGGTTGGCTCCAAGCAGCTCGTCGAGTAATAGAAGCGCCTGCTGCCACTGCCCGCAGTTCGCACACGCGCTGATTCCGGCACTGTAGCTGACCACGTCCGCTTCCAAACTTGCGTTGCATAGATCGCTGAGCAGTGACAGCGCCTGCTGCCAATGCCCGCCTTTTTCACACGCGCTTATGGCAGCATTGTAACAGACCGCGTCGGGCTCCAGCTCCACCTCTATCAACTCGCTGAGCAATGACACGGCCTGCTGCCACTGACCGCACTTCCGGCACACGTTGATTGTGACCGTGTACAAGACCGTGCTAAGTCCCGTGCTCTTCCGCGAAACATCTTGAAGCACGCCCAATGCTGCACTCAACTGCCTTGTATCCCCGTACGTATTGATCGCTGCTGCTGCGCGAGACGCGATCCCCTTGTTAAATCTCGACCAGTTGGGCCTCGGCTTGTTCCTTTCGATTGGCGCCATACGCTGGCTCCGCGCAAGTAGCTGACGGCAAGGTCGAGATTCGGCTGACACCTAGCCCGCACCTACCTCCCCAGCCCCCGAGATGCACTCAAGATGTCGATGTTGATAGAGGGAGCTTGTCACCCAGACGGGAAGCATGGTCCCTAGCAGCGCTGGCTGCTCAGCACCAGGACAGCAAAAACGGAGCCACAGACCGGCTCGGCGGGACAAGAGCAAGGGGGAGGTATCGACTACGAAGCACCCAGCACCACTGACACCGGCACTGCTGCTTGCCGAAGATATCCGCCATTTTGAAGGCCATCTTATGACAAGCCATCTCCTGTCCACTGACCCTGGAAAACAAGGAGGCGGGGAGTGCCCATACCGCTGTTCCCTGGGCCTCTCCCAGGGCGTGCTCTGGCCATGACCTCGCGGCGCATCCAGCTGTGGCGACGAGGGGCGCGCAGCAGCGCCGTTCTCTCTGCTCCTCCCCCGGGCAGCAAACATGCGTGTTCCGCTGTTGACAGCGTTTTTTTCCGCGTTACGAGCCCCAGGAGCCTCCAGGGGTCTGAGGGCCTCGGCCACAAATGGAGCAGCACAACTCACTACACAGTCCCATGGCAACCTCACCGTGCCCGTGAGGTGGACCCCGAGGTCCTGCCCTGCTGGGAAGGGCAGCGCACAGGACAACGTGCACCCAGGTCTGGCCGCCCCCGCTGCCCTCGCTCCCAGCAGCGGGGGTCCCCGAGAGCAGGGGCGACCTCCGCCTCGGAGCTGGCCGGGTTCCTCCCGGCAGCGGCCGAGCGGACGAGGGGCCCGAAGCCCCTGCAGTCGCGCAGCCACGACGAGGGAAATAAAGGGGCCCTGGGACACACACACACACACACACACACACACACACACACACACACACACACACACACACACATATATTCATATATATATATATATATCGACACAATTTCAGGATTCCCCACATTTCCCCGTATTTTCCGCGTGTTCGTCTCCCCCCCCACACTTCCCATACTTTCCCTTATTTCCCTGAGAGTCGACGATGTCGGTGTGTTTCTTTCCCTCCCGAGGGAAGGAGGGGAGCCCTACCGCCCGCCATGCCCTCCGTGCGGCTGCCGCGCTCCCAGAGGGAGCGCAAACAGAAGAGGCGGAGCGGCCTCTCTGGCCGCAGCGGGCCTCGGCCACGAGGAGGCTCCCCGACCTACGTCTGAGGAGCGCCCCGGAAAAGGATGGCCCCTCCCTGGCCCATAGTGGTCCTCATTTCAGCGCCTTGCCCGTAGGACCAGAGAAAGGCGGCACCACCAACGCGTGGAGCCGGGAAGGGCCCTCCTTATGGCGCGGTACCCCCCCTCGCTCGGGACTTGCCTTATCTTGTGTTGCACATTCGGAGGACCCTGTCGGTCCCGTCGCGCCGCTATCCGCCGATTGCAAGGCGACTCCGCGCCGACCACGCGTGGAACATCATTATGCAATCAACGCCGCGGCTTGGCTTGGGCGGTGCCCCGCTAGTGGGCGCCTCCTGGGCGCCACGCGCCTGGATCGGCTTCCAAGGTTCGGGGCTCGTGCGCGTGCACCGCAGCGCTTGCACAACAGACCTGTCACGACACAGCGTGCACCGCGAACCTTCGCTGCCCCCTCCCGGTGGTGGCGCCTCTCCTGCCTCTGGCCTCGGGCCCCGCTGGGCGACGAGATCGCTCGACCTGGATCCATCAATCGACCGCTCGATCTCGCCAACTAGGGCTCCCAACTTCGCGCTTCGCGCTCCGCGAAGCGCGAATAACTTCGCGCTCTCGCGCCGCCCCCCCCAAAGGGAGAAAAGGATGACGAGGAGGAGGGGGAGAAGGAGCGAGGACCGCGAAGCGCGAAGAGCGAATAACTTCGCGCCCTCGTGGGAGCCCTTGCGCCAACCGCTGGCCGCCTGGGCCGACCAGCCACAACATGGGGCAGCTGAGCTCCTTCTACCCCTGGGAGCGTGTCGACGTCCCTAGCTTTCGAGGGGTGCGCCGCAGACGATGGGCCCCCCAAGGGGGCGCAGGGCACGGCTCCCCCAAGTGCGCCTCGTGAGCTTCCCGGGCCCCGAATCCGCTCTGGATCCATGCTGACGGGTGCGCTGCCTGTCAAAAACCGACGTCCGACGGCTTCTGCGCCAGGAACGGGCCTCCCGAAGCCGATAACCGATTGAGAACCTTGCGGCTCCCAGTGGGAGGGGGAGGAGGAGGAGAAGGAGGAGAAGAAGGAGGAGGATTTTGTTTTGGCTCCACGCCCCGAGGCACCTCAAAAACCCTCCGTCCAGGGAGGGGCACGAGCACCGCTGCGGAGGGAGAAACGGCGACGGTGGGCGGACGAAGCCTCAGGCTTCAGCCTCCGAAAATGTATTGAAACACTGAATCAAATTGTCAGTGTTGACCGTGACATTACTCTTGCGCTTGCTGTGATGGGGGTGCTTGCCTTTGCAAAGGTACTCCCATCCATAATGCGCAGCACGGGTTGGAGGAACAGTGCACTCTCCAGCCAGGCCTCTGACGGAAGCTCCAGAGCTGTGGCACTTACACCTCGTACAGGTAAAGAGCACCGAATTGTCTGAACAGTCAAAGGCAATCGTGCGATGACCCAACGCGTCCAGGTGGGACGCGTGGAGCTTTGAATCTTTGGGACAGCGGCCTGGAGGTGGCTCGCCAGTACCACGCGAACCTCGAAGGCAGACAGCACACCTCCAGACCCCTGACCACCACTCCCAGCGATGTCCATCCCTGGGGGCAGCGGGAACATGAGGTACCCGGCCAACGCCACTGAGATCGCGGCCGGGCCACAGGTGCAGCAGGCCGGCTGCCAGCTTCAAAGTGGCACGAGCATGGCGCACAGTCTGGTCAACGGCGTCGAGCTGCCGCTGATCGCACGGGTGGACGGAAACAGCTGCCTTGGCTCCCACATCGGCGTGGTGATTGCCCTGCCTGCACCACCGCTCGTCAGGGCCAATTCCCTCCTCATCGATATCACGATGCACCGCCACTTTGACACATGGACAAATGGACGGTTGCTGGGCATGGCATTGAATGAACGCACCTGAGTACATACGATTAGCAGTAAGCTGTTCTGCCTTAGACCTGTTGGCTGTCTTGACAACATTCGAGCAGTCCGAATATACAGTGGACTCCGGAGGCCGCCTCGCAAGAACCGTGGCCCACGTGAAAGCACTGAATTCGGCCCCCTGGGGCGTATGGGGGAGGGGACTCTAGACAGGGGCCCTGAATTCAGCTAGCAGTTTGCCATCGGGGCCTATCATGCACACACTGCTGGCAGCACGTGAGAACTCCCGCGCAACATGTCGAGAACACGACCCGTCAACAAAGATGGATCCCCACATGCTAGTGCCACGCTCGCCTCCACCTGGAGGCTCAAGACTGTCATCGTGCCACACAAGAAACGGACCATCATCTGCCTCCGTGAGAGCTCGGGGGTACTCGTCGGCGGGATGCCGAAAAGCTACAGAAGTGAAGACGAACAGGTCATCATGCTCGTCCGAAGCCTTAGCAGCAATATCAGCGTCAATCATATCCTGATCGACTAGAGAGGCGCGCGCCTCAGCGACCGGACCATGTTGACACTCCCACAGCCGGTGGAAGGCGGTATCCTCACAGCCGCAGAAGGGGCAGACCGAGGACACAAGATAATCGAGGGCAGCGGCACGGGATCCCGTGAAAAACGCTTCCGTGGTAGGCTGTCGAGGATTCCAGCTTTGTCGAGGCTGGTAAATTTGGAACTGGCCAGGGCTTCTTTGACGACGTCGTAGCAGAGGTGAGGACGCATACCCCTTTTGTCCCCCGACTCCCGCTCGACCATCCTAAGATAACCATCTTTAAGGAGGGACCTGACGAGGGCAGGGGACACAATGCCAAGGGGGATGGACATACCTCTGTCGTCGCGAGCGTCATGAAGTTTTCCATAGTCCAGCCGAGGCGAACAAGGGACATCCTCAAAGCCGAAATGGGTCCGCTAACGGACCTCCAAGAACACGAGGCCCTGGAGAAAACAGACGACCAGGCTTCGCGAAGCTGGGGGAGCCCAATGGTCCAACGAAACATGCTAGTCTGATTAAGCCAGACCTCCTTGCTCCACCTGAGAATCGGCGCAATGGCCGTCCGCCAAGTGGGGTCGCCATCTAGGATAGCGGCCGTCGTGAGAGACCTCAGCTGGCTCACGGGACGAACTACGGAGAAAACGGTGCGGCGCAGCTGGTGCAGGTCATGGTCACTGATGCCCGCAATAGGCCCCGCAGAGAACACCTTGAGCACCACAGAACGCCTCAGGACCTTGGTCTGCGGCTTGAGCCGCCGAGCAGCGCGGCTCGCCTTGGCAAGCCTCTCCTTGAGCTTGGTACACCGGCCAGACACGCGAATAGCACGCCCTGCCGTGTAATCAACACCAAGATTCACAGCTGAATTGAAGAACGCTCCTCCTAGCTTGTGCAACGCATCCGACACTTGAGTGCCGATCAGCTTCGAACTGGCAACAACCGCCGTCTTATCCGGAGCGAAAGAGCACCCAAACTCGTCTTCAACCACGCGCTGCAAATGCAGAGACCCCTGGACGATAGAATCGATGACATCATGAGCCCTCCCCGTACACGACAACCCCTGATCGTCGATGTACACATCGAGGTCGAGACGAGGACGAGCGGGAAGGCTGTCGTATCCATCTACAAAGAAGACTCGAATGAACGTCGTGGCCATCGAACAACCAGGAGGAGGAGGAGGAGGAGTGGGAGGAGGAGGAGGAGGAGGAGGAGGAGGAGGAGGAGGAGGAGGAGGAGGAGGAGGAGGAGGAGGAGGAGGAGGAGGAGGAGGAGGAGGAGGAGGAGGAGGAGAGGAGGAGGAGGAGGAGGAGGAGGAGGAGGAGGAGGAGGACGATGAGAAGGCGCAGGTGGAGGCGGAGGCGGGGGAGAAGAAAGGAGGAAACAGGGAGATAAGGGAGGGAAGGAGGAGGAGGAGGAGGAGGAGGTGGAAGAGGAGCAGGAGGAGGCGGAGGCGGAGGCGGGGGAGAAGAAAGGAGGGAGCAGGGACAGGAATGGGAATCAGAAGGATGGGGGAGCAGGGAGTTAAGGGAGAGGAAGGAGGAGGAGGAGGAGGGAGGAGGAGGAGGAGGAGGAGGAGGAGGAGGAGGAGGGGGGAGGAGGAGGAGGAGGAGGAGGAGGAGGAGGAGGGAGGAGGA